TGAAGTGGCGGGAGGACAGGCGGAGGAACCCCCTGGGTCTGGACCGCGTTTCTGGGCTGCCCGGCTTAGCAGGCAACCTAGACCGGAGGCAGCAGGAGCCTCGGCTGAACCGGAGCAACCCCATCCTGGAGCTCCCTGGCGCTCTCAACAGCAGCCATTTCCACTGCAAGCTGAACGGTGCGCATCACCCGTCTGCTGGGGGGTCTTGGGAGGTGACCCTGGGGCTGGGGTTCAGCCTGGCTTCATCACTGCTCTGCCTGCTCCGGCCAGGAGGGACGGTGCGTCCGCTCACGGTGAGGCTAAGGGGCCATGAGAGGAGGGTGAAAAGTGCCACACTGGTGGGTGCAACCTGTGTGGAGCCTCAACTGAGAGCAGTCAGGTCGGTCGCTGGGCTGGGTTGAAGGGCAAAGTGAATGGCCCAAGAGCCTGCTCAGGCCTCAGCAGGTGCTGCTGGACTCCATGCTGGTAGTCCATGTCTCACACAGGAGCTGTAGCCCTTGGAGATCTCGTGTCTGTGCCCCTCAGTGTCTGTCCATCTGCCCCAACCCTGACAGCATGCTGTGTGTGGGTCTGTAGCTTTCATGGGGCAGCTGCCATGGAGCTCTTTCTTCTCCATGCTCTGCCCCTAAGGCCTTTTGTCCTCCAAAACCTGTGCAGGAAGGGCTGAGAGGCGCAGGCTGCTTTTTGGCTTGACCTTTGAGAGTTCTCCAGGAAGGGCAGTGTGGTCTGTCTGTCAGCCCCAAGTTGTCGAGGGAATTCCCTGAAGCTCTACACCTCACTCGGCTCACCCCAACAATTTCTCCATTCCTCCTTCGTGGGAAGCTGGAGGGATTCTCTCTGTGCTCTACTTTTGACCCCTCTTGCTGGGGTTTCCCGCACAGCACCCCTGACAGTCTGGTGCAGCAAGGTTTCCCTTAGCACTAGCCTGTGAACCTGCCATAGAATCTTCTGCTACCCACGGACTCGCAGCCCAGCTGAAGCTAGATGTTGGGCGGGCTGTAGGGGTGAACTGTACAGGCTCATGTCTAAACTGTTGCTGGGAGAGTAACACACTTGAAGCCTCTCAGTTTTGTGTGGCTGGAGGGAAGGCTGCTGCTGGTGCAGGCTGCATCTGAGAAAAGCAGCAGGTGTAGGAGAGGCTTTGATATAAGGGCTTGGGGCTGATCCTCCTTCCCACTGTCTTGGCCCTACAGGACAGTCTATGAGGCAACTCCAGCTGACCTACACTGACTTCTTCCCTGACTACTTCTCGCTAGCAGAGAAGCCCCCTGCAGAGTTCTGCCTCTCCCCAGATGGCAACACAGAGTCTGTCTCCATCGACCTGCTGCAGAAGAAGGGTGAGTCCGTGTGTCTCCCGTGGACAAGAGTGCGGTGTAGCAAAGCATAAAGGGAACTGCACTTCTCTCCATTTTATCTCTGTAGACATAATGTTTCTTTCCCTGCCCTTCTCTACTGTAACATCGTAACTACGTGTGCCTGGACTGATCCTGGTTGCCACATCAGGTTCTTGTGCAATTTCTGCACCGTGCAACGTGCTACACAGTATGTTTGATCTGCTTGTCCCAGGATGTATGATTAGAATGGATCTTAAGTCCACAAGAAAGGCCAGAGAGGGCAGGCACCAGAGTATGACCTTAAGGCAACACAGAGATGCTGTCACCCTTTGTCTCAGTCTGTAAGGGTAGACCTGTGAATCTGTGTGATGCTGCAGAAATACTAGCCAGGGATTTTGTAATGTAGGTAAAAGGTCTGTCGGGTCCTACATGGTAAAATGTTCATGTAAAATGGTGGGAGAAGGGACTGCAAAGCAGGATGAGATATGGCCATGATGAGACCCATCTAGAGGTAAGGTTGTGGACTGAGTTGTTTACAGCTGACTCAGTACCACTTCAGAGGCAAGAGATGTGCAGAAGGGTTCCCTTGCCTTTCCCAGCTATGTGTTGGTGATTACTAGATGGCAGCTTTCCCCTCCATTCTACTTCTGTTCTTGCATCAGACTGATGCAGATGTCAGGTTACCCACCACTGGCTTCTTACTGCAGGTGATGACACAGCTTGCCAAATGCTGCCCTGTAGGATCAAAGCAGCAAAAGACTCATTTCCTCAGACCCCATCTCGGCTGCCTCAGGGGATGGTGTGTGGAAGTGGTGGTCCACATCTCTTGGGAATATTGACAGTGTGTCTTTATGCTTCAGCCACTTCTATAGGTTGCCCTACTGTCAGGGTGATAGGTGAGTGTTGGAAGCAACAAGGCTAGAATTGGTGAAGATTTAGAAGAGGATCTGCATGTTTTTGACAGAGAGGGCACAGGCACTGACTCAGGCTTGAGATGGCCATGCCCGATTTCGTCATGAAGTGTTTGGTCAGGGCCTGTCCTTGAAGGCCCTCAGGCAGTTCTCTGACTTGGTCTTTCCCTCTAGGTCTCGTGAAGGCAATCAATACTGCTGTTGACCTAATTGTGGCTCACTTTGGAACCAGCAGGGATCCAGGGGTGAAGGTAAGTCTTGCTTAATGAGTGACATGAAGAGGATGGGGAATGATTACTTCTCCATTGTCTTCCAGTCCAAAAACTACATGTAATCCAGTGAAGGTAGCACTACTGAGAATAAAACAAAGGTTTTATTCTCAGGTACACAGAATTGTACAATTGTACAATCATAGAATGGTTATGGTTGGAAGGGACCTCAAAGATCATCAGGTTCCAACCTCCAGCCTCCCTGCTATGAGCAGGGACACCTCACACTAGACCAGTCTGCACAAGCCTCATCCAACCTGGCCTTGAACATCTCCAGGCAGGAGGCAGCCACAGCCTCCCTGGGCAACCTATTTGAGCACCTTCCTACCCTCACGGTGAAAAATTTCTTCCTGATCTCTAACCTAGATCTCCCCTCTTTCAGTTTAAAACCATTACCCCTTGTCCTATCACTGCCCTCTCTGGTGAAAAGCCCCTCCCCAGCTTTCCTGTAGCCCCTTCAGGCACTGGAAGGTGCTATAAGGTCTCCCTGGAGCCTTCTCTTCTCCAGGCTGAACAGCCCCAACTCTCACCCTGTCTTCACAGCAGAGGAGACAGTAAACCTGTGATAGTTCTTTCTGCATGACACCAGGGGTGCTAAAAGATTATGTGGATTTAAGGCAAGATGGAAAAAATACAAAGAAGGGAAATCCATTCAGATCTACTAAACACATAAGAATAATATCCAGCTTAGGTAGTCTCTGAGTCAAAAGTAGTTGTAGAGTAGGGAGAGTATTAAGAGGAGGTATTATGTATCTTTCCTCTGGTTTGACTCTTGTGTACTTAGTTGTGGCTTTTTATGAGAGAATACAAAGCCAGCTGAAATTCTGGTCTGGTTCAGTACACTAGCTCTTTTTTCATAGAATGCCAGGTTGGAGGGGACCTTAAGGATCATCTGGTCCAGCCTTTCTAGGTAATAATATAGTTTAAATGAGATGGCTCAGCACCCTGTCAAGCTGAGCCTTAAAAGCTGTCAAATGTAG